CCACCATCATGTTCGGCCTTCATTCAGGTTTAGTAATTCCTCGCTGCTATACTGCCCTTGATTAAGCCCCACTAGGCATCCTATACCCTTCTCTCCATTGATTTTAGTTCACTTGCTGTTCCCTTGTCCCTGGGTTGGTTTCCACCCCACTCCTTCCTTTCTCCCACCTCCCCTTTTCCCATATCCCCCCCGGAACCATTGGTCCCATTCTTTTCATCTCCAAATTATTTATCCCGCCTATCTTATCTAGATAGGCATGCAGATACATTAATAAGTGCAAAAACCTGGCAAAGCCAAATAAAACAACAAAGGAAGTCAAGACCAACAAAACAATAACAACAACAAGAAAGCCACTGATAAAAATGGAAAGGCCTATAAATAGTTCAAGGTCTGTTTGTTGGCCTTTCCGAGTGTTTTCCAGTCGAGTCTGATGGGGTGCCACCCTCTGTCTCCAAAGTCTAGTTGTGGTATTCCCCGGGGATTTCATCACTTTGCTCCCTTGCTGCTCTGTTGCATGCCCTTAGTGTTTCTCCCCAGCGTGATGGGGTCAGATTGAGCACACTTCGGCACTATGTCTCCAGCATTGTCCCCCGCAGCACTATGGTTTAGTGAGGGACGTTGTGTCTCGTGGTGGGGCCGACCCTATGGTCCTCTGTGTGCATTGTCTGCTCCAAGCAGGAATGTTGTCCTCAGGGCTTGGTAGGCCAGGATGTCCTCCCCTCCCTCTCCGTTTCTCCCGTGTGCTCTAATCAGACACCCCCCTCTCCCCAAGCTGTGGCCCCAGTGCTGTCCTCTGAAGTGCATTCTTCTGGGGGAGGGGGAGGTGTCCACATAGTCGGGATTCAGTCCGGACCAACAGACCTCTCTCTCTATTGGCTCCCTGGTGCATGCCGTATGTTGTATTCTCGTCTTGGCACATCGGGGTGAAGCTGGTCTCTCGCTCTCCTGTGGAGATAGAGCAAGTCTTGACGTCTCCTTTCTCTCTTGACCTCTCCTCCTTTTCCTCTTCCTCCTCCTCCACCGCCGTAGCTCTTTACAGTCTTTTCTTTCTCCCATATAAATGTTATAATAAGGTTGCTAATTAAAATAAAAACAGAAGATCGGTGCTGTGACATTGAACAGAATTCAGTGAAATATGTTTTGAAGGAAATTAACATTCTTACGATATGTAGGAGCACCCTGTTCTCTTCATTTATTAATGTTTTCCCTTTCAAGACTTAATATGAATTTTTACCATTTATATACCCTATAGCAAGATTATAGGGATTTGGACTAACTTCAATCTTTTAAAACTTGAGATACATTCAATATCACATTGTTTGTTTCTTGCTGAGGTAAAGAAATATGATTTTTAAAAATTGTTGGTGCATAAATTCTCTAATGTTAACACTGTTGGCTGGTGCCCTGTCACTCCCCAGCTACATGCACAGCAGGCTAAGACCACTGAGAGCCCTAAGATTTTAATTGGCTGGTTTTCAGGAGTAGATCTCCTGGTCTTTCTTCCTAGTGTGTCTCCGTCTAGACGCTCTGCACTTGGCCCTATTTTTTCTATTCCTTCTGACTAAATTCAGTTTAGGCTGGTACTAACCTTACCACCATAGGGGGCTTGGTGGTTACTCGTTGAGCTGTGATCTGAATGGTCGGCAGTTTGAAACCACCAGCAGCTTCTGGGATTGGGGGGAAAGACTGGGCTCTCTGTTCCTGTAAACAGTTACAGTCTCAGAAACCCACAGGGGCCCCGCTATGAGCTGGCAATGACTCAATGGCAGTGAGGGAGAATCCTATCACCAGACAGCTTAATAGGTCCTGCCCCCTCCTGTCTCATAACTGGGTCTTACTCATCGTTGCCATAGTTACCTCGACACTCATAATTGTGTTCCTTCTTCAAAAGCATCCAGATGGCACACCACTGCTTATTCTGCCTCTTCCTCCTGAGAGCTCCACTTCAACCACCTGGGCTCCCTTTCAAGCCACCCTGGCTGTGACCACTGCCCTCCCCAGGGTTTCTGGTCTGCTTGTTCCTGAACCCTGAAAAGTAGAGCAAGACCTCTAATTTGGGTAGAATATGACATGCTGGCTGTGGTTGGGGCAGTGGGAGGCTCCAGATCCCATGAAAGAGCGGGATGTGAAACACGGAGTTCCAGACAAGCCTTTGCTTGAAGACACCACATCACCGCAAACTCGCTGTCATCGAGGCATCCATTCCAACTCAGGATGAGCCTAGAAGATAAGGTAGAGCTACCCCGTGGGTCTCTGCGACTTTACAGGAGTAGAAAGCCTTGTCGTTCTCCTCAGAGCAGCTAGTGGTTTCAAACTACTCACCTTGCAATCAACAGCCTAACATAAAACCATGATGCCATCTGGGGGCTCCTTACAAGGGAGAAGCCCAGCTAAAGAATATGACTCACCTGCCAAACCCCTGTTTAGGGACAGAGGGGTGTTGGAGGGTGAGGAAGGGTGGAAAGAAGTCAGAATCCTGGAATTCTAAGGGCATAAGAGACCTGGTTGCCCACAATTTGGGGATCCCAAGGTATTTTGGTTAGGAGACCAAGTTGTGCAGACAATGAAATTTCCTCCTGTTTCTCTTGTACACACTGTCTATTTCAATTGACTAATAAGACAGGGCAAGGGCTCATGTAGGTTGGGTGGCAACACAGATAAAGATTGGACTTAAAAAGGTGCTGATAATAAAAAGTATTAATAATGAAACAGAAGCACAAGGTATTCAACAGTACTCGTTTTAAGTTAGACTACCTGCATTTTCAAACAGAATCACATCTAGGGGTTCATAGAACAAGACATCAGTATGTATTTGGACAGGATACAAGGCAGTCTATTATGTCCTCCAAAGTTAAAACTCCCTGCCATCGAGTCAATGCTGACTCATAACAACCCTATAGGACAGGGTGAAACTGCCCCTGTGGGTCTCCGAGGCTGTAACTCTTCATGGTAGTACAAAACCTCTTCTTTCTGCAGAAGAGCAGTGACTTCAAACTCCTGACTTTATGATCAGCAGCCCAACGTGTAACCACTATGCCACCAGGGCTCCTGTCCCCAAAACAAGGATGGACTAACTTGGCTCCCTTCTGGACTCTTCCCATTACTGCTCTGAGAAGCACGTAACAACCTGCCAAAGGTTGCTCTCTGGGCCTCCCCAGGTGGGTGGTGGCAGGTTCCACTGGATTCACTTGGTACAATGAGAAATCCCTTCTCGATCCATTTAAAGCGTAGCACATCTTTCCATGGGGAGGTTGGAGCATGTTCATCTTTAACGGAACATTTGTGGGGCCCTAGCTGTTCCGTGTAGGGGGCAAAGGCAGCAACAGGAGAAGAAAACTGATAGCCACACCCACTTCATAATTATGCCAAACTTTACAGTCAAACAGGTGCACAGGTGGCATAGTAGATTACCTGGTGCGCTGCTATCAGCAAGGTCAGCGGTTCAAACCCACCAGCTGCTCTTTGGGAGACAGATAGGCTTTCTGCTCCCATAAAGATTTACAGCCTCGGAAACCCACAAGTGCAGTTTTACCCTTAGAAGCCACAGTTGACTGAATGGCAGTGAGCTTGTTGGTTGGGGTTTTCAGAGAAGATCCGTCTTTGGGGGAGGAAATCTTTGGACTGATAGCTGTAAAGATTCAAGTACCCTAACTATACCAAGGGGAAAGGCTGGGCGTGTGGTGTAGACTCAAAGGTAATAGAAACAAATTTTTTTTTAAACCTTGCTGTCATTGAGTTGATGCTGACTCGCTGAGACCCTATGGGAGAGGGTAAAACTGCCCCCGTGAGTTTCCAAGATGGTGAGTATTTAGGGGAGTAAAAAGCCCCAGTTTTCTCCAGAGGAGCGGCTAGTGGTTTCAAACTACTGACCTTGAGGATCGCAGTCCAATGCATAATCACAGTACAACCAGGGCTCCTTAAAGGAAACAGAAGGAAGCCCTTAAGTGTCCCCAAGAACATAGGGGACCATCACCAGAAATGCTAATACTTGGGCTACAAGGTTTTGCACTGGAGATTTCAAATTTAAGACTGAGAGGGAACGGGCAAAGTGGTGATAAGCAGTCGGGGGACTCATCCATGTACGCCCTCCGCCCGTAAAGAGAGAAGGGAAAAGTCCTCCCAGTAAGTCTTCTCATCTGCGCGCCCCGGGGCCTGAAGATGCAGAGATGCCTGGTCGACCAGGCTCCCAAGGTCGGGACCTCCTTGGACAGGCCCGGTTCTCGCCCTTGTCTGTGATTGGGTCGCGCGATCCAGGGGCGGGGTCTCGAAACAGCGCAGGGAGCTGAGGGCAGTTGGGCTGCGCGCGCAGATGCTCGCTACCCTACCACGTGAGTCCTCCGCCTCGCCGCCGTCCCTCCCTGTGATTGGCGGCCGGAGCGCAGGGGTGGGGCTTAGCGGCGGCAGTGCGCGCGCATATCCGGTTTTACCACTCCGGTGCGTCCTCGGCCTGGCGCGGCCCCCAGCCCGGCTCGCTCCAGCGTCACAGCCATGGCGGCCTCGCTTTTGCTGCGGCAAGGACGAGCTGGGGCGCTGAAGGTAAAGGAGGAGCCAGCCCGAGTAGGGCTGGGCGGTCAGGCTCCCTCGGAGGAGCCGGGACGGGTCACGCGGCGCCGGCTAGGCCCGAGTTCACCGCCTCCAGCCTGTCCGGACCGCTGACCCCTAGACCAAGGAGGATGCCCGCCTGGCGACCAGCCGCGGGTTACCTTGGGGCCTGGTCAGTGACCGTTGGGATGTGCTAGGGCCGCGGCTCCGTGTGTCCCCTGGAACCTCCGGAGGCCCTGGTCACCTGGGTCGGCTCTAAACGGACGCCCGCGCGCTCCCGCAGTTCCCGGGGCGGAAGCCGAGCACGCGGCGCCGAAAGTCCGGCCTCCAGCGCAGGGCGCCCATCCCCGGCCCGAGCCAGGCTCACCTGGGGACCCCTGCAGGGCCGACGTTTCCCCAGGTGACCCTGCTGAACTGCAGGGTATCAAGAGTCGGCATCCTGGAGCTTCTCCAGGGAATCCTCTTTTAGGGGAGGAAAGGAGGGGAGTGTCGAGAGGTGGTACCTCCTGACCAGTATTAGCTGGCAGCTTTGGGAAGATGTTGGCTCACACTCTCGATAAAAGTAGGAAAGGAAAGACCCTTTGTCCGTATATAACACACTTGAGGTCAGTTAATTTTTATAAATGAAAGCGATTGTTATTAAGTAGCCACTGTTCGTTACAGAATAAAGTAACAGCAACAACAAAAAAACCAACCCACTGCCATCAAGTTGGTTCTGAGCCAAAACGATCCTATATAGTTTTCTGAGTCTAAATCTTTACCGGAGCATACAGCCTGAACTTTTCTCCAGAAGGGTCGGTGGGTTTGAACCCTTGTTAACGCTTCCATGCATACTTGACCGCCACCAAAGCTCCAATAAAAGTACTGAAAACCCAAACTCATTGCCAGTGAATCATCGATTCTGATTCACAGCGACTCGAGTGGGCAAGGCAGATGTGCCTTGGGTGTTCCTGAAGATGTAAAACTTTGAGGAGAAAGCCTCATCTTTCTCAGAACGGACGGCTGGCGGTTTCAAACTTCTGACTTTGAAGTTAGCAGCCCAATGCGTAATCCACGCCCCCTCCAGCGCTCCTAATTAAAGCCCAAAACTCAATTTAGTCTTTTATAAGGACTCACTGGAAAGGATAGAACTGCCCCTGTGAGTTCTGAGACTGTAACTCTTAAAAGACTAACTTACAGGACCCTTGAAGACTATAACTCTTAAAAGAAAAAGCCTCATCTTTCTCCTTCACAGTCGCTGGTGGTTTCAAACTG